TTGCTTTTGCTCACTTGCAATGCCCCGCACAATGTGTGTGCATGTCGAAGAGAATCTACTCGCGCGACTTCAAACGAGAACCAAAAGCAGCAGCAGCGACGAAAGAAGCGGAAAAAAGTCCATGACAATAAATAAGAAGAAAAATACACAACGAAATGTAGGCCACTAGTACAATATATTATAGCGGTACAATACTAGCGAAGAAGTCGCAAGATTGTGAATGTTACCTTGTTCTTCGTTGTTTTAACATTATAATTTCTCAATATCAATGCGAATGCCATTCACACAAGCACTCCACCGCACATACAGACGCACGCGTACACACACAACGAAAACACCCATACCCCAGGGGATTCATGCCAAATTTTATTTAGCAAAATCTATTTGTATTATTTAAATCATGTAAAATTCACGCTAGATTTCAAATATTTTGTATTATTTCCCGAATGCGTTGTTATTGTTTATATTCACCTTGAACAATATGTTCTGGAAGTGGGTTTTGGTGGATCTTCAGGATGGATCAGACTGGGTTTGACAATGCCCTGGTCCATCCTGAGGATCCACTTCCAGAACCAGGAGCGGTTTTGAACAATCCTGCGGATCCACCAAAATCCACTTCCAGAATTTTTGAAGCGATAATGACGTCAACAGATTGGACATGGTTCTGTTGACAGTCGGTTTATTGAACAAAATTGAGCAAAATTGAAATTATGCATACATATCTGTTAATATGTTGAAACATAAACAAATTCATATTATTTGTTCATATTTTAAATATCGAAATTGGCGTGAGGCCCCTAGGGACAATGCTTGAATTCCAGATCTTTTTCTTATCCACTACACTGTAGTAACATTTACAACTTTTGAAATGAACGATTCTACACATGAAGCTCAGTTTTTAGTGGTTGGCGAGACGAGATAAACGTAGAACATCACTTTGGAAAGTTGGTGGATTCAGTTGAAAAAATGAATTTATCAAATTTTTCCAATTTTCCGAATGTGTTATGGTCTATTCATGCTTTTTTCTCGAAGAAGAGGTGATTTGACGTCGATGATGTGTACAAATGATATGCTCAAAAAAGTCCAAAGATAAAAAATATACCATGGTTGATGGTGTCCATCCATATTGGAGAGGCATGGGGGCTCAAAATGGTCAAAAAATGGTCAAAAATCACTAATATAGGACCAAAAGTGGATAAAAACCCACTTTTACCTCCAAATCGATTTCATATTCGGAAAGCCCGGAAAAAATCCAGTAAATATGCTGAACACTTTAACATGATAATTCCCGCTCTTCAGCCTCAAATCAAGCTAAAAAAAATTGAAAAATCACAATATCTGCCAATATACAGTCATTTTTACCTGCCTTAACGGCAGTAGATCAGGTAAGGTGTAGTTCTAAACAGTAGCATTTGATCCCTAGTTTTTTTTTACATACCGTCCACCCACCGTGGTGACCTCAATTTTGGATTCGGAGGGCTAAATTAAACGAAAATCGCAAGAAATAAGTAACTGAATTGCTAAAAAAACGTCTTTGTTCTATTTATCATGCTCCAATTTTACCAAATGAAGACAAAAAACACAATCAATTTGGTATTTCTATCGATTTTCTACCATTTTTATTGATTTTTGGTCGGGTTTTTCATCGATTTTTTAAGTTTCTTCTATTTTTTAAAAATATTTTACTAATTTTTCCCTTTTTGATAAAATTTCCTTTTTATATGATTCATTTTTATTATTTTTGACTACCGACTGTTGATTAAAATTCAAATTAAAAAGCCAATCCAGTCTCTGTTTTAACCAATTACTTTAATGAATTGTGCCGACGTTTCGAATCGTGATTGGATTCTTCTTCAGGGCTGTTCATGCGTAATCAATTCTGTCACAAATGATAATTCATTAACAATGGCCATTTGAGATTGTTTCACAACGAAAAAAACTAGATGGAATTATTAAATCGTAGATTTTTCTTTAAACGAACGAAAAAATTTTTTGTATTCAACTTTGACTGCATTGTAAATATGATTCATTTTTGTTAAATAAAAACTCTTCTTCATGAGTTCCTTAACGAACTTTCTATTTGAACCACGAACATATTCTAAAAATTCTCCATAGATGAAGTCTTCTTTGCTCCTCTCTACAATCTTTCTAGATTGACATTTCTTACAAGAAACAACTTCATTTTTATCATTTGTGTGTGTTTTTGTTCAAGTGATATGCATATTGAGCAGCAGTATTTAAAATAGCTTGACAAATACATTTTTTATTATTGTTTAAAACAAGATACAGAAAAAATGGAAGAAGCAAGTGAATGATCATCTCGAAAAATATTTTTTTCTTTGTTATATTTGCGGTAAATTCGCAGTGCAAGAACATAAAAGAGCCTTCAGAGGTGAACTAATAAGTGGATACGAATATTACTTTACTAAATCGGTGATTCAAAATGTTTCTGGGCTCCAAATTTTATTTGCCTAACCTGTAAAAATCATTGGAACGTTGGTGGGCAAGGCAAACACATTCACTTCCATTTGCTGTTCCAATGGTGTGGACCGATCCTGGCTTACATCAACAACAAAACTGTTACATTTGTGCCAACAATATACTGGGTGTCAATCGGATTAAGAGGAGCACGTTTGTTTTCTGTGCAAAAATCGCGTTGATAACTACCAAGTTTTAATAGATGATATGATGAACTCCTTCGAAGTTATGGATGTACACATGTCATTAAAAATACATGTGCTACATGCCCATGTGGAATTCTACGAACGCTAAAAATCAACAGAATCAGACGATTTCACCAAACTATTATGACTTTTGAAGACCGTTTTGCTGGAAAAAGATTGGATTCGATTTTGGCCGATTTCTGTTGGTGGATCGCCAATGAAAGTTGATTCTTTCTAAAATGAAATGTTGAGCATGATTTTATCTTTGGACATTGATAAGCCGAAAATTAAGTTGATTTCAATTTTTTCACCATTGAATAATGATTCTATTCCATCTTCATATTAAATATATTGATATTTTGTACTCTTTTTTACATTCTCACATGAATACGTAGGTAACTATTTATATTTTGCGCCTAACCAATTTTTAGTGTTGCCAGATGCAAACTGGAACTTCCATTGGAAAATTTGACATTTTTTAGGAATAAATACGTTGACAGATCGAAAAAAAGTTTGCCCCTTTGGTTACACCAGCCCTTCAAAGTG